CGGACGCGGCCGCCAGCTGCTCGGCCGACAGCAGGGCGTACGCGGTCAGGGCGCTGGCGTCCGCCTTGGAGGCCTGCAGCCCCGAGATGGAGGCGTCTCGGCTCGCGAGCTTGGAGGCCAGCGCTGCGGCGGCAGGAGAGTGTTGGCCATCTTGGTGTCGACCTCCAGCCGCGTGATCCGCGCAGCGATGTCGAGGGAGTGCTGGTCCACCGCCGTCTTGAGGCCGTAGTTGGCTGCCACCGTGGCCAGCGTGGCGTTGTTGGCCGAGGCGATGGAGCCGTTCATGGCCGCCGTGGTGCTGTAGTTTGACAGCTTCAGGCCCACGCTGTCGGGGGTGCCACCACGCCCTCCAGCGCGTCGAAGGCCGACTGGTCAGCCTTGTTGGAGAGACCCGTGGTCAGCGTCAGCGAGCTCTGCAGCGCTGCGATGCTGCTTCCGTGCGCGGCCTGCCCGTCCGTGGTGGCCAGGACCGCTGCCGTGCCCACAACCGCGATGGCCGGCGCCAGTGCGCTGCTGTCCAGCTTCGAAGCCAGCTCTGCGGTGACCCGGTCGTCCAGGGACTGGATGGCGGCTGCGTTGTGCCGGAGGCTGCCGTGTTCACGGCCAGGTCTGTTACTTGAGCGTAGGGCAGGGCAAGCTGCCCTGCGGTGACGTGCGTGCCGTCAGTTACCTCTCTGTTGTCCAGGACCTCCGGGATGTTGCCGGTGACAGGTCCTTCAAACATGTTTACATATGTTTTCGCCGACGCCTTAGTCCAGTGGCTAAGGCGTCGGCCAAGGAGCTAAGCGCTTCTTACTCCGCACGGGGCTCAATTCCTGCCGCAAGCTACCATTCAGTCCGAATTCCGGCCGTTACAAGTTTCTGCAAGTACGTGTCACCCCGTGACACAGTCCGTGGGTGGCCTTTTTCGCAAGGCCGGCGGGAGCAAGGCCGGCTGGGCGGCTTCGGTCTTGGAGCAAGGCCGGTTGGGCGGCTTCGGTCTTGGAGCGAGGCCGGCTGTGCATGTATCGTATTTCCGACACGTGATCCGGACTGAAAAAGAAGCGCAATCGGCGCACATTCGGAGCCCGCGCCAGGCCCGCACCAGGCCCGCGCCAGTTTGGAGCGAAGTCGGAATTCCGACCTTGGTGGGAGATCGAGGTCGGAATTCCGACCTCGCAGCCATTGGCAAAAAAGCGCGCTGCAGTCCTCCCACGGGAGGACTTACATTTTTTCCTGGGAAGAATTCCGAGCTCGGGTGGCGCGGGCTCGGCAGGCTGGTGCGCTTGCCGCTACATAGCACGTGCTCGGCTACCAGGACATGAATTGAGGGAAAATATCCTTCAATTCAATTCCAGGTCGTGATACCTATGCCGAACGCAGAAACTATGCATGGCGTGCATAGTTTCATATATCTGAGCCCTGGTCAGCGAGACACTCCCCTCGAAAATTTCGGGACAAATCGCCGAAATTTCGGGACAGATCGCCGAAAATTTTGCCTCGAGGCCAGCACGGGCTTGGCAGGCTGGGCGCAACCTGCCCGGCATCAAGGCCACGCCAGCCTGCCGAGTCATACGGATCATACGGATCATACGGTCATACGGTCATACGGCGGCGGCTTGGCGCTTCGGGTGGCGCGGCAGCGGAGGCTTCGATGCCATTCTTGAGGCAAATTTGAATTGTCTTGAAGCAACGCTGGCGCAACTTTGGATGAATAATGCGCAGCCCGGAGCAGCGAACTGCGCGAACTGCGCGAACTGCGCGAACTGCGCAGCGACTGCAGCGACAGCTGCAGACTGCGCCGCGCGAAAGCGCGAACATAGAACATCGCACCTCTCTCTTTAGAGGGGGTTTCCCAAATGGATTCTATTCCACCTGGTAGGCTCCTGGCACTCGTCCGTCCAGGAAACGACCTCGTCCTGCGAAGGATTCGAAACCTAAAGCGCTGCGTGCAGGCGTGTGGCTGCAACATAACGACCCTAGATATGCGGTTTGGCAAAATGCTTCGCAGCTGCCTTTGTTTCTGCAAAGCGAGCCCCCTCAAAGGAAACCTTGGCTGGCTTTTTGGCTGGCTTCTGGCTGGCTTCTGGCTGGGTTGGCTCCTGGCTGGGTTTGGTTGGCTCCTGGCTCACTTCTGGCTTTCTGGCTGGCTTCTGGCTGGCTTTCTGGCTGGTTTGGCTGGTCAAAAAAAAGAGGCTTCTGGCTATCGAAAAAGCGGTCTGGCTGGCCTCTGGCTGGTTGTGGCTGGCTTCTGCCTGGCTTCGGTGACAAGCTCGGCGGGCTGCGAACAAGCGGTGACATACTGATACCAAGCTGCTTTTTCCACTCCCTTGGCTCAATGGTTAAGCGCCGTCTGGTCTGGGGCTCGAGGTGTTTTCGGCCAAGCGCAAGGTCCTGAGCACCCCTTTTTCTTTTCGCTCAGAGAACGGTTCTGGAAGCTTCCAGGGCTCAAAATCACGGCAATATTGCGTCAATAATTGATTCAAAAATGGTCAATATTGGTTCATTAATGGGCAAAGGTAGCCCGGTGACACGACAGCCTGCCAAGCTTGTCACCCCTTGTCACCGTTTGTCACCATCGGGTTGAGCTGCAAATAGCAAATTTCTACCTTACTACTTTCGGACCGAAAAGAGCAAGGAACGCTGCAGGATGCGTTCTTTTTCCTTACACGAAGCATTCGTGAAGCAAGCGCGAGACAGCGCCAGGCAAGGTGCTGTGCGCAAACTGGTCGGTGCAAGTTGGTCAGCGCAAGTTGCTAAGAAGAGATTTTAACTTCTCGCAAGTCAATTGCGCTTGGCTCCTTGAACTTGCAACTTGCACTTGACTCCTTGCACTTGCAACTTGCACTTGACTCCATGCACTTGCGTTGCACTTGACTCCTTGCACTTGCAGCTTGCGCTTGGCCCCTTGCTTGCAACTTGCACTTGACTCCATGCGCTTGGCTCCTTGCAGCTGGCAATGACTTTCACGAGTCCTTGCAATGACTCCTTGCAATGACTCCTTGCAATGACTCCTTGCAATGACTCCTTGCAATGACTCCTTGCAATGACTCCTTGCAATGACTCCTTGCAATGACTCCTTGCAATGACTCCTTGCCATGACTTCTTGCGACTCCTTGCAATGACTCCTTGCAATGACTCCTTGCAATGACTCCTTGCCATGACTCCTTGCCATGACCTTGCAATGACTCCTTGCAATGACTCCTTGCAATGACTCCTTGCAATGACTCCTTGCAATGACTCCTTGCAATGACTCCTTGCAATGACCTTGCAATGACTCCTTGCAATGACCTTGCAATGACTCCTTGCAATGACTCCTTGCAATGACTCCTTGCGCAATGACTCCTTGCATGACTCCTTGCCATGACTCCTTGCAATGACTCCTTGCCATGACTCCTTGCAATGACTCCTTGCAATGACTCCTGGCAATGACTCCTTGCAATGACTCCTTGCAATGACTTTCATGATGATGACTCCTTGCAATGACTCCTTGCAATGACTCCTTGCAATGACTCGTAATGACTCTCATGAGAACAACTCAAGTGAACCCAGCGGCAGAACCCTTCGCCATGCTTTCGGGACAAAAACTTCGGTCCGGGGCAAGTTGGTGGGGATCGACTAAGTGGTTCATCGTCGACTCAAGTTGCGGGTTTCCTTTTCTCTTTTGGCTTTGTTTGTGGTTGTTTGTTACTTGTGTGTTGGAAACCCTGATCTTTGGGCCCGGGGATTGGTTCTGTTTTGGGGTCTTTTTTTTGTGGCTTGTTTACCAACCCTTCGCCTGGGCACAGGCTCGTGCCCGAATCACAGGTAGCTAGAAAAACAAAGAAACAGACAGCTGTGGATGGATGGACGGACAGACGGATAGATTGATTGCTAGATAGATAGACAAACAGATAGCCATAGCGGAAAGACAAGACAGATAGGTAGAGAGAAAGAGAGAGACAGAGCGATGGAGAGATAGGCAGGTGCTAGGGAGATACAGAGAAAAAAACGTAACTGGATAGATAGAGAGATTGAGAGACAAATTGCGTAGAAAGAGAAGGGAAAAGAGAAGAGAAAACGAAAGAGAAATATAAAATTAAAGAACACCAGACAACAAGAAGAACAACGAGACTGAGAAAGACAACTAAGAACATACATTTTTGATTCTTCCGCCTACCGGCTTCGCTGGCGATACTGGTATTCTGTATGAAGACGTAATGTGTTAATGTTGAGGCTGTCAAGTAGGTGTTGATTTAGCAAGCCTTGTTCGAACACAAAATATCGAAGAGCGTTTTGAGCAGTGGAAACGCAGGTTTGCGCGATTTAGATGTTGGCTTGTGTCAAACTAGCCCCAGACGCCTCAGGCCAGAAACGTTTCTGACTTTTCCCGAATGCTCAATGTTTGGCGTTGCGTTTGATGCGATTTTTTTTGGGGTTTGTTGCTTTAAACGATACGTTTTCCCAAGAAGTTGACGTTTTGGGTAAAGTTGACATGTCAAGAACTCACCGCCTTGTTGTTCCTGAGCCAGGGATTATTTTCGAGCATGCACTTGATTCACTGCGTGTATTTCAAAGATTACACGAGTATGTTGCAAGTTTTGAGGGCACGGTTTTCCACAGGGGTTAATCATTGTGGGTCGTATTGCAGGACATCATCGATTGTGCTGGGCGTATCAGCAACCGTGCCCAACATTGATTGGATCAATGAAACTTTTGGCTCACCTGCCGTCCTCAAGCTACCAGCTTGCTGCCAAATTCGTGCGCGCAGCTGCATCTCGCGCAAACCACCTGCTTTGTTTGGAGCTTTGGTGCGTGCATACATTGTTTTTGCAAACGTTGAAACATAGTGCAAATCCGCGTAGGTTCTTTCAGGTTGTTGGCTCTATCATGGAATCTAGCATTGCACCATCAATTTGCACAGCAGGATATGACACGTAGTAGCGTTTGTATTGGGACACGAATTGCCAACAAAATGTGCTTGGCGTGGCGCAGTGGACGATGCTTTGTGGCCTTAGTTGGGCAAAGCGTGTGTTTGCCATTGTTCGTTGTTTGGCGCCGTGGTGCAAATTACAATGCCAATATGCAAATGGCTTCCAAGCAATTGCGGCGCATTTGCAGCCAGCTTGGTCGGAATGCATTGAAGGCACGATTTAATGCATTACTGCTGCATACAGTGTGGTGTCAACGGAACCTTGGTTGTGTTTGCAGATGCTTGTTGCCAGCGTGTTGTTGAGCCGCCAGTTGAGCACATTACATTCCTGAGTGCCGGATGATGTTTTGTCAAAATCACTGAGCAGTAGCTGCAATCCACCGGGCAACAGTACCAGAAGGGGTGCTGCGCCGACCGCGGGCCAGGTTGGAATTGCCGGATTCGGCGGAGTTGCAGCTTTGAAAGCCGGGTGGCCCAGCCGATGTCAGTTGGTTTGGATCATGCTTATTGAGCATGTACATGCCTCATGCCTTGTATTTTGACTTGTGCAAGAGGTAGTTTTGGCGCTTAGGTAGTATACATCCTGCAAACAAATGCTATACCAGAACCGGGCTTTGGGAATGGTCATGGTCAAAGTTGTTTGCTTGAACGGTTCACAATTCTTGTTGCAAACGGTAACAGTGCCTTGTTTAGACGCACGTATGGACAGTTTCCATTTTTTGACTCCAATTGCAGTCCTCTTCACGTTGAATTCCAGCTTCGTATACTTTTGATTTGGACTCACTAAGGGAAAACGTCGACTTGTGGAAGTGAGAAATAAAGTAGTGTCATATGGGTCCTAGATCTCGACCTGGACAGCTCCGGGTCACCTCCTGTTTGAATTGAAATGGATCCAATATCCAGGGAGGTGATATCCCCAAAAATACCATCTTGAGAGGGCTGCACCGGGTCAATGCAACGGGTGGGGTTTTCCGGCTTTTGGCCAGGTTGCTTGCCCACCCGAGCCGCTGGATGCTTGGTGCCGGAGACGTACGGTCTCCTTTGTGCAGCCCGAGGAGCGGTGAACATGATTCCTTCGGATCATTTTAGAGGACTGTATTGATCAGGTTTAGCACGGGACAGCATTGTCATTCGACTGCAGTCAGTCACTCTGCACGGGCGGGCTGCTCACTGTAGCAAGAGGACAAGTGGCTGTATGGCAGAAAGAACTAGGGAATTCGTGGGATTTGGTGAAAAGGGAAACACCATGAGACCATTTGGAGGGATCGATTGGGCTTCAAGGGTCAGACAGCTTCCTAGGATCGATTTTCAGGAAGTGCAGAGCGAGCGCGAAGCCTTGGAGCTATTGGCAGAGGTGGCAGGCGGGACGCAAAGGGGGCCTCTTGAATTCGGCGAGGTTCTTGGCGATTCGTTTGGAGGCTCAACCTCCAGTGGTCCAATTTTTTTTGAGGGGTTTCTTTTTGTGATGACATCGCCTAACAATATCAAGGGCACCCTTTTTCTCCCATGACCACTGGATTTTTGGTGTGATGATCGGTTGATGTTCTGGTTTCTGTTGGTAGGATGTATGGCCGGTCAAAGGCTGTTGGTCGCAAGCCCGGAAAGAGCAAGACAACGGGTCCATCGATGGATGATGGATGTGAAATGCGAAGCTTGATGTCTTTGGATGCCGTGCTGGGCATGTGTTTTGATGCAGCGATTGTGCAGAACATGGTGTGCATGTGATTTGTGTCAAGCTTTGCGCTTTAGTGGGACGGACCATTTGGTTAAGCGAAACTGTTCCAGCAAACTCAATGAGAGTATATATACCCGTGTTGCCCAACGCTCCGGACCGAGTAAACAACATCTTTCATTGGCAGTTCTCTTTCTCAAGCATTTCTTTTGTTTGCTCGGACATGGACATGTCCAATCTTTTCAAGCCATGAAGGCATGAGATACAGCATCGGTAGTTGACAGATGGACATGCGAGAATATTGTTTGCTTGAGCAAGCATGTATATCCATGCAAACCAGCCGCAGTCGTCAAAGGTGACCCAGGCTTCAGTGCAGACCCAGGCAGGCTACAGTGCAGCTACGCACTCATCTACATTCTTCATCCTTGCAACCACAAAATATCCAAGGAGGAGCAATTTGATTGAGCTGCGGTTGCTTTCCTGCGCACCAGCCCTTGTTGAAGCTTTCTACCCCTGTCTTGGTCTTTGGAGCCTTTTCTGTGACTTGAAACGCGTAAGCCCAAATCTCACCCTATCCAAGCAAGCAAGCCAACCCAACAAGCCTAACCAACCCAACAAGCCCAACCAACCCATTCACGCACCCCAATGACCGACTCACCAACCAAAAACTGAGAACGACCAACCAAACATCCCAAACAATCAAAGAGAACCAGAAGGACTACCCAAGTAAAGGTGACCAATCCAACTTCGTATGGGCACGCAGCTGAGGTTTGCAGCCGAACCTAAACCTTCGTTTAAAGACGCCATTTTTTGTATCTTTCCTTTGCGTGTCAGTTTTATAAGACAGACCTCGGAGAAATCTGCTTTCTTCTCATTGGTGGCTTTGATTGACGTTTGGAAGTTAAGGTGTAACTTCCGAGTTCAGTTCCCTCACCCTAAAACCGAGTGCTTCGGGTCCTCTGCCCCAAGACCCTTTTGTATGTTTCCCGGTGTCTCTGCCATCCGGATTGGTTCAGAGCAGCTCCGGCTTTGTTAAGAGGGTTTCCGGGCTGTTGAGGATCCCTGGCCAGGGGACCGCCGAAAATCTGTTTGGAGCAAATTGGCTGAGGCGTATCCGAGGGGTTGGTCTCCACATTTTCCTTGAGACCTAGCAGTTGCCAGGCGTAGGGCCGCGCCAGCTCAACGCAGTGCTGCGCTGCTTCTGGAGCGGCGTGGAGCAGTGGGCCGAGGCTCTCTGGGCAAGGCGAGGGGCCAGGGGCCGATGAGGTCACCCAATGGGCCCCAAAGACATTGACCCAAGTTGAGCGGACCCAATTTGAATCGCCCCAAGTTGAATGGGGCACAAAGTTTCCCCGACCTCTGGCTGGGCATGATGCACCCCTATGAATCGATTGTGCCAACTGTGCTCCCAGGCAGCTAGGGTCTGTTTTGGACGCCTCCCCTACACAGGGCAGACCCGTATGGCCATGAGTTTTCATGGTTGGCACATCCTTGTAAATGGCTGGTGGACACAAAACCCAGCCACCAAAGTGACATCTGTTCTGGAAGGGATAAGGGATCGTGAATGCAGGCAAACACATTGATATTAATCCGCCAGGTCGATTAATCCGCGGGCAACCTTATTGCGAGCTCATTGCATGAGTGGAACGATCTCGGGCCCCATAATGAAGGCACGCAATTGGGGATGCGTCTTTTCAGGATGTTAAGTGTTTGAACTGAAGCTCAATGCGTTGTCCGTGTGTTTCGAATATGTGAATCACTTCTGGGTTTAGTTTCTGCGGATGGTCCAAGTCAGAGTTGTGGGTTGGCCGTTTTCCTTCAGCCTTCGACTTTGTGCAATTTAGAAGCCTCTTGTAAGTCCGTTTAGATACAAACATGGAACCCTGGACTGTAATTTGGCAAACTGCTCACCAATTGGATTGATACATTTGTGCTCTTGGCATGGAAGCAACAGGGCAAAAACTTCAGAGCCATGCGGCTGCAAACAGCTTTTGGCCCCAGCAGCCGCCACACACGCAACGCTCATCCTTGTTCCCGCAATATGTTTCACACTCCACACTCACATAAGCGAATCCCGACGTTCCTGTGCTCGCAGGCCATTGCAAAGCTTCCCGAGGAGGCGAAGAGGCAGTGGGGTGCTGGACTTTGGTCTTTTGCCTCTGTTGGTGTCAGCCAGCGTCTCCGCTTCGCGGTCGCACTTTCCTGGCTTTTTCCCCAGATAGCTGAAAGCTATAGGGGTTCTAACTTCTAATAAAGAAGGGAAAGTTATTTGCGAGCTTGAGGTCCGGGTGCTAGGGGGCATGCAGTTTGGGGTGCTGGTGGAGGTGCTGTTGCGAGAGTGATGGCCGGGTGCTAGGGCATGCAATTCGGGGTGCTTGGTGGATGCTGTTTTGCGAGAGTGATGGCCGGGTGCTAGGGCATGCACTTGACGGCCGGTTGCAAGATTGGCGGCCCGGTGCTAGGGGCATGCAGTCTGGGGTGCTGGTGGATGCTGTTTTGCGAGCTTGACGGCCGGGTGCTAGGGGGCATCCAGCTTGGGCTGCTGGTGGAGGCGCCGCTTTGCGAGATTGACGGCCGGGTGCCAGCATGCAGTTTGGGGCGCTTGGTGGATGCTGTTTTGCGAGCTTGACGGCCGGGTGCTAGGGGGCATCCAGCTTGGGGTGCCGGTGGAGGTGCTGTTTTGCGAGAGTGATGGCCGGGTGCTAGGGGGCATGCAATTTGGGGTGCTAGTGAGGTGTTGTTTTGCGAGCTTGACGGCCGGTGCTACGGGGGCATGGTGGTGCTGGCGCAGCTGCTGGTCTGGGGTGTTGTTTGAGGTGCTGGTGACGGTGTAGGCGCATTTTTGCCAGATTGAGGGCTGCATGCAGTTTGGGGCGCTGATGCAGGTGCTGTTTTTGGGGTGGTGCTGTTTGAGGTGTGGACGCAATTTTCCGAGATTGCCGGCGGGTGCTAGGGGCATGTAGTTTGGGGCTGTGTCAGGTGCTGTTTTGGGTTGCTGTTTGAGGTGCTGCTGTCCGCGCTGATTTCTCAGACAATTGAAAGCCACAGAGGTTCTAACAGAAGGCGCGGTTTTGGGGGTGCTGTTCGGTTGTGAGGTGCTGGCGGCGCTGCTGCTTTGAGGGCGGGTGCAATTTGGGGTGTCGCGGTTGTGGCATCATCATGATGCTGTCCGCAGCATCATGATGTTGTCAACTCAATCGGTTCGGACGTTGTTGCTGCCCTAACTGTGGCGCGTAGTGGTTCGTGGCTGGTGTATCATCATGATGTTGTCAACCACGTGATGATGCTGCTGCAATCACTGCGATGCTGCGTTATGGTTCGTGGGTGCGGTGGCGCCATGATGCTGTCAAGATCAGGATGATGCTGAATTTCATTACGCTGTTGCAAGATGGTTTGTGGCTGTGGTATCATCATTCGCCTGCCCCTACCATCACAATGATTCTGTTCGCATCACCATGATGCTGCCGGCGTCATCATGATGCTGTCCGCATCATCATGCTACTGCCCGCGTCATCATGATGCTGTCGATCTCGGACGTCGTCTCTGCCTTTTTTCTGCCGAACATGTAACATTCTGCTGCTGCGCTCAGTAGGACGTTGTCTGCGCGTTTATTTGGCGCACCATGCTAAGTTGCTGTGGTATCATCATGATGCTGTCAACCTCATCATGATGCTGTCAACATCATCATGATGCCGCGGGAACCATTATGATGCTGCGTCATGGTTCGTGGCCGTGGTGTGCTATCTGGGGTCTATGCTGGTGTATTTTTTCTTTTTCGCACGTGGCATTCGGGCTTCGAATTCGAGATTGCCCCAGAGCTCACTCAATAGTGAGGGCTGAAGTCTGAAGCCCTCCCTTCCAAAGAAAGTCTTCGACAGGGACGACGACAGGGACGCCGGGGGTCTGGGTGTGACCAGGGCATTTGCTTCTGCTGCCGTCGAGGCCGCTGGCCCAGCAGGTGGTGCAAAAGGCCCGGGCTTCAGGGCTGCTGCCTGAGGCGCGGGCCAACCGGGAAAGCTATGGGGTGATTCCTCTGCATCCCAGAAATCGAAGCGAACATGATAGGCCTTGGGGCAGCCAGATATCTTTTTGTCGGCATTTGGCTCCCCAAACTGTCGAAGTTACGGCTGCCACATGCCTGCTGGCCAAGCTGTGAGTAATTCTGATGTTATGAATGATGAAGGATGGGGCGGGGTTTGTGCTAAAAAACAAACAAACTTGCCTCACAAATCACTAACTTGCCTTTGCTTCTGCAAAGCCAAAAAAACATACATCACACATTGTCGCGCTCTTCGAGGTTGAACCGGACCCGGAGGCTCAAAATGAAAGCGCCCAGAGGCTGGTTTTTTCTTATCACCGAAGAAGAGCCGTGTTTCCAGGTGGACCAAATTGACGCGGCCGTGTCGTCAGCAAGGCCCAGGCCGGCAATCTGGCCGCAACTTGGGTCAGCTGGCGTGTCATGCATTTGACAAGCGAGGAGCTGAGCGTGGTCTGTAAGATCAAATTTGCCGGAGATTGCCATACTCGGTGAAGTGGCAGTTCCGGAACATACAGAATCCCCAGAAGACTCTGAGCGCTTTGTGCGTTTCAAGGCTGGACAGTTTGGGTTCCCACCCTCATCAAGAGGCAGTATGTTGTCGCAAGAAGGGGGCAGACATACCCGAACGAAAGCATGTCTTCTAACCAGTTCGTGTAAAATTCACTTAGAAACCCTTTGGCGGATCATGTTCCTGGGGATCTATGTCCACTAACCATTTTTTCCATGTGCCGAACGTAGCTCGCGTTATGTAAAACCCGTTTGCCGATCTTCCAGGGCCCGTTTTTCAACCTAATCTTTTGCCAGACCGGAGACCCGGCGCACCTATGGCCTTGGTCTCAGCGATGGACCCACGTGTGGGCTTGTTTTGTTTTGGTACCGCACTTTGCTAGCTCTAAAAGGGCACACAAATTTGGCAAGTGTCAAATGAGTTGGGCATCCACATATCCAGGCTTGGCATCCCTGGAATTCACGCATCTTTCAGAGTTTCATTGGAGGTGTTGATGTGGGTGGCGATTCGCCTATGTATGCAGGGCCCGCATCTCAGATTTTGAAGTGCTTTGGGCGGTGTGAGGAAGGGGCGGAGCAGAGAGGTATAAACCTCAGGCATGTGGAAACCGCAGCTAGTGGGGGTCTGGTGCTGTGCAGTCAATGTTTGAGGTTGGCCAACCAAAGGGCAACACACGCACGCAGAGATGAGTTGAGTGCTGCAGGCAAGCCAACAAAGTGTCAAAACAGAAAACAGGCTCCTAGGGTGCTGCTTGCGAACACGACCAGCGGCCTTGCTAGGACAGATGCGGCTCGACTTCTTGGCGATGATTTGGAGCGTGCCCTCGAGCAGTTGCGTGAGGATGGCATCGTTCTAGTGTCAGGAAGCCCAGGTTATTCGTGTTCATTCCGGCTGGCCAGCGTTGTATGCATCAGGGGATTCAAGGACTGTTGCGTGAGTGTTTTGCCTGCTTTGCAATTCTCAAAAGACATTGGCCGTTTCCAAAATCCAGACCCTTCAAAATGGGCAGCTGTATCCGTGCGGGTGGAAGACTTTTGGACAGGCTAGTACTTAGTACTCTTTGCAAGTGTTGTGGTTGCTTCTGGGTACTCCCATTCAAGGCGGGTTCAAGCAGTCCCTGGCTCTCAAGTATTTGTTGACATCTCTGCAACCAAGCCTTGCTGTTTAAAGCCTCCATTTCCACTTAAAAGTCACACCTAGCTGACTAAAACGAAAGGAGAGAGGGACGGGGACTTGCAGATTCGGAGAGGAAAGGTGAACCGCAATTTGCACACCAAAATGGACATGTTTGTGGTGACCTGCAACGCGGTGCCTGGCATCAACTTTGGCAGCAGGTGAGCTGGAAGGCTATTCATGAGGTGCTCTGATTTCAATGCAAAGAAGCACGCATGCTTGAGTCACTGCCTGAGAGGTACTTGTACATGGCGCCACACATATACCTTACAAGAAACCAGCAAATCTAAAGGGAGTTTTGTCCCACAGGGCATGTGAGATGGTGAGAGGTGAACATTTTTGCAAATTTGCCAGTTGCCGCATCTACTTTCTGAGGGAGCCAGTGACAGCACGTGGGCTGGCTGATTTCAACCAGGTCAAATAACCGCCATCGCTGCCGAACGCGCCCAGCGAGGAAGACGAAAAGCGACCAGGCAAGCTTTAACCTAGCCAAGGTCTTCAACGTGGGTAGCTGGCCAACAAGAAGTCAGCCATGGCAAGAACGATTTCGCTGCGACAGCTATCTGGGAAAGGATTGTTCGCAGGCATGACTGTCCGCATGTTGAAAAGGGCTGCATGGGTGGCTGCCCTGCGACGATGAAGAACCAATGTGAGTGGCAATTCCAGGTGCACCGCCACAAGCATGCCCGACCCTGCGACTAAGATTGGACTACAGGGTTGGCAAGTCAAGTGCGACCACGCTGCCTATAAATAGCATTGTGGAGGGCGGGCCTTCCTGTTCCATGTGCTTGTCAAAGTGAGGTCAGCGCCGGACGTGATGCACGGGCTCCGGAAGTTGCTGCATTTGCCGCCGGCGGGGCGGCCTGTGAGGGAGGCGCGGGGTGCGTTGAGTGGGTAAATGAAGGGTGCGGTTCCCCGACCAAAAAGAATTGGGGTTTCCGCCCTTTGCTTCTTGGCCATGGGTTTTGGGTGGAGCATTGTGGTTGGATGGTTTTGCCGGCCATGTTTGCTGCTTTTGACCAATCCAAACCCCCAGGGAACATTCTTTTGGGAAGCCTGTTTTTGACCAGCCCTGATCAGGTGGGTCGGCCGTTCTGTTGGTTGGCCAGTCAGTCGGTTGGTTGGTTGGGTTGGTTGGATTGTTGGTTAGGCAGGCACCTCCTGAGCATCTCCGTTTACTTGGTGTGAGGGCTGCGTAGTGGCTGTGATTTGGTGGCAGTTGAGAGTTGCTCGGGTTGGTTGGCTGGCAGCCCAGTTCGTTGGTTGGGTGGGTGGTTGGGTAGTTGGGTGTAGTTGGATGGTTGGGTGGTTGGGTGGTTGGGTGGTTGGGTGGTTGGTTGGTTGGTTGGTTGGTTGGTTGGTTGGTTGGTTGGTTGGGTAGTTGGGTGGTTGGTTGGGTGGGTGGTTGGGTAGTTGAGTAGTGGTTGGGTGGTTGGGTGGGTGGTTGGGTAGTTGGGTAGTTGGGTGGGTGGTTGGGTAGTTGGGTGGGTGGGTGGGTAGTTGGGTGGGTGGGTGGTTGGTTGGGTGGGTGGTTGGGTAGTTGGGTGGGTGGTTGGGTGGTTGGGTGGTTGGGTGGTTGGGTGGGTGGGTGGTTGGGTGGTTGGTTGGGTGGTTGGGTAGTTGGGTGGTTGGTTGGGTGGTTGGGTAGTTGGGTGGTTGGTTGGTTGGGTGGTTGGGTGGTTGGGTAGTTGGGTGGTTGGGTGGTTGGTTGGTTGGTTGGTTGGTTGGTTGGTTGGTTGGTTGGTTGGTTGGTTGGTTGGGTGGTTGGGAGGTTGGGTGGTTGGTTGGTTGGTTGGTTGGTTGGTTGGTTGGTTGGTTGGTTGGGTGGTTGGGTAGTTGGGTGGGTGGTTGGGTAGTTGGGTGGGTGGGTGGTTGGTTGGGTGGGTTGGGAAGTTGGGTGGGTGGTTGGTTGGTTGGGTGGTTGGGAGGTTGGGTGGTTGGTTGGTTGGTTGGTTGGTTGGTTGGTTGGTTGGGTGGTTGGTTGGTTGGGTGGTTGGGTAGTTGAGTAGTTGGTTGGGTGGTTGGGTGGTTGGGTGGTTGGTGGTTGGTTGGGTGGGTAGTTGGCTGGTTGGTTGGTTGGTTGGTTGGTTGGTTGGGTAGTTGGGTAGTTGGGTGGTTGGTTGGTTGGTTGGGTGGTTGGGTAGTTGGGAGGTTGGGTGGTTGGTTGGTTGGTTGGTTGGTTGGTTGGTTGGTTGGGTGGTTGGTTGGTTGGGTGGTTGGGTAGTTGAGTAGTTGGTTGGGTGGTTGGGGTGGTTGGGTGGTTGGTTGGGTGGGTAGTTGGCTGGTTGGTTGGTTGGTTGGTTGGTTGGTTGGGTAGGGTTTGGTTGGTAGTAGTTGGGTGGGTGGTTGGGTGGTTGGGTGGGTGGTTGGGTAGTTGGGTGGGTGGTTGGGTAGTTGGGTGGGTGGGTGGTTGGTTGGGTGGGTGGTTGGGTAGTTGGGTGGGTGGGTGGTTGGTTGGTTGGGTGGGTGGTTGGGTAGTTGGGTGGGTGGTTGGGTGGTTGGGTGGTTGGGTGGTTGGGTGGTTGGGTGGTTGGGTGGGTGGGTGGTTGGGTGGTTGGTTGGGTGGTTGGGTGGTTGGGTGGTTGGGTGGTTGGTTGGTTGGGTGGTTGGGTGGTTGGGTAGTTGGGTGGTTGGGTGGTTGGTTGGTTGGTTGGTTGGTTGGTTGGTTGGTTGGTTGGGAGGTTGGGTGGGTGGTTGGTTGGTTGGTTGGTTGGTTGGTTGGGTGGTTGGTTGGGTGGGTGGTTGGGTGCTTGGGTGGGTGGGTGGTTGGTTGGTTGGGTGGTGTTGTGGTTGGGTGGTTGGTTGGTTGGGTGGTTGGGGTAGTTGAGTAGTTGGTTGGGTGGTTGGGTGGTTGGGTGGTTGGTTGGGTGGGTGGTTGGGTAGTTCGGTGGTTGGTTGGTTGGGTGGTTGGGTGGTTGGGTAGTTGGGTGGGTGGTTGGTTGGGTGGTTGGGTGGTTGGGTAGTTGGGTTGTTGGTTGGGTGGGTGGTTGGGTAGTTGGGTGGGTGGTGGGGTAGTTGGGTGGTTGGTTGGTTGGGTGGTTGAGTGGTTGGGTGGGTGGGTGGTTGGGTGGTTGGTTGGTTGGTTGGTTGGTTGGTTGGTTGGTTGGTTGGTTGGTTGGTTGGGTGGTTGAGTGGTTGGGTGGGTGGGTGGTTGGGTGGTTGGTTGGTTGGTTGGTTGGTTGGTTGGTTGGGTGGTTGGTTGGTTGGTTGGTTGGTTGGGTGGTTGGGTAGTTGGGTGGTTGGTTGGTTGGGGTGGTTGGGTAGTTGGGTGGTTGGTTGGTTGGGTGGTTGGGTGGTTGGGTGGTTGGGTGGTTGGGTGGTTGAGTGGTTGGGTAGTTGGGTGGTTGGTTGGTTGGGTGGTTGGGTGGTTGGGTGGTTGGGTGGTTGGGGGTTGGGTGGTTGGGTGGTTGGGTGGTTGGGTGGTTGGTTGCTTGGTTGGTTGGTTGGTTGGTTGGTTGGTTGGTTGGTTGGTTGGTTGGTTGGTTGGTTGGTTGGTTGGTTGGGTGGTTGAGTGGTTGGGTGGTTGGGTGGTTGGGTGGTGGGTTGGTTGGTTGGGTGGGTGGGTGGGTGGTTGGGTGGTTGGGTGGTTGGGTGGTTGGGTAGTTCGGTAGTTCGGTGGTTGGTTGGTTGGTTGGGTGGTTGGGTGGTTGGGTAGTTGGGTGGTTGGTTGGTTGGGTGGTTGGGTGGTTGGGTAGTTGGGTTGTTGGTTGGGTGGGCGGTTGGGTAGTTGGGTGGGTGGTGGGGTAGTTGGGTGGTTGGTTGGTTGGTTGGGTGGTTGAGTGGTTGGGTGGGTGGGTAGTTGGGTGGTTGGTTGGTTGGGTGGTTGGGTGGTGGGGTAGTTGGGTGGTTGGTTGGTTGGGTGGTTGGGTGGTTGGGTGGTTGGGTGGTTGGGTGGTTGGGTGGTTGGGTGGTTGGTTGGTTGGTTGGTTGGTTGGTTGGTTGGTTGGTTGGTTGGTTGGTTGGTTGGTTGGTTGGTTGGTTGGTTGGTTGGTTGGATGTATCGCTCCATCCATCTATGCATCCATCCACCAATGCGTCCCCCTGATCCCTCCATTGTGGATGTAGATACGTAAGCGCACACACACACATGTTCATATTGTTGCCGGACCAAATCCTGAACGGACCAAATCCTGAACCGCTTTTGCTATGGTTTTGAAGAACGCTCACGCTTGGAAACTTGAGGGCCCTTGGTTTCAAGCATGTCGGAATGACCAAAGTCCCGCACCACCTTTTGTAGTGGCGTTGGGAGAGGTGTTGCAGGATTTCGTCCGTCAACCGTATGTGTGCAGACTCACATGCGTATGCACGTATGATATACTTGCAAATGCATACGCATGTGAGTCCGTACAATGCGCACACCCCTACATATATGTATATATACTATGATATATATATATATATACACATGTATACACATTCACAGATGTACATATTCATTTACATACACATTTGGGCTCAATATTGTATATGCATTTGCGCGTATACGTGCAACAAAATGCAGGTGCAGACTGGTATGTTTTGGCATGGGGTCAAGCGAAGGAATGTCCCTGAGAAATGGCAGCCCAGCCAAAACAAGGAGAGCTGTTCGCCGCCAAAGTCGCCAATTGTGCATCCCCGGCGTTGCCAGCGGTGCCTACCGTCACATTTCAGTTCTGTACCCGGCATCACCTAAGCCAATGATCAAGATCACGAGGATGATGATGCTGCTGATGATGCTGATGATGATGATAATGGTGGTAATAATGGTAATGATGATGATGATGCATCCCCAGCACATACCATTGGAATACCAGAGTAACAACGATTTGTTGCCATCCTTCTCGTGTGCCTCCTTTGGCAAGGCGGCGGATTCCCCCCACCTCCTCCTTGCTGCATCGCCAGGTGCCCAGTGCTGAGGTGCTGAGCGCCTCGGGCGCTGCGGCCCCGCAGACGCCCTCCGTGGGGCGAAGGCACTTCCTGCTGCGGGGCTCGGAGGTGGCGGAGCGCGGGCGCCCAGTTCGGGGATGCGGCGAGTTGGGCTGGGGTGGGGTTTGGCCAAGTGGGATGTGAAGGGGATATCCAATAAAGCGGTAAGAGGCTCGGTGGTGTGTGCAACCACTGCGATCATGTTGGATGTTTTCGGATGGGTGACGCAGTAGGTTGACCCAAGAGAATATTGGTCCTGAATGCGCACATGAGGCGCTCGATTTTTGGCACCGATTTAAGTGTCTCCGATTGGCTTCAATTATTAGCAGGCTATGGCCAAATTGGGATGGACATGGTGGGGTTCACTCACTTCCATAACAAAGCAAGGGGAGTCCACAAATGTTTCCACGTTCTTTGGGGCAATGTTGAAAACTAATCAGGGTGGTTGCCCTGTTAAGCAAAGGATCTATTTCCTGCATTGACCGAAGGCATATTTCGACTGTATCTGTGCTGAGGCAGGCGGTGGTGCCGCTGCTGACGCCTCTCCTGCCGCTTTGCTGGCGGTATTTCGTGGAGAATCGGCCCGATGCCTCGCCAGGCGGCAAGTGAATCGCAAACCGATTTCAGGGTGAGGCAACCCTCCTCGTTTAGGATGGAAAGTAGTTCTTTTTAGGGATACTTGCTTGGCCCAGCTTTTCCACCAGGCTGGCATCGATGGATTGATTTGCGGGCGATCGTTTTTGCCACTGCTCTGGTCGAGCTTGCGCCCGTGCGCCAGAAGCACCATTGCTGAACGACCTCGTGGTTTCTTTGTGCCATTTTGATGTTGCCCACGAGATACGACACTGGTGTCAGGTTTCTTCTAATCATTTTCGAGTGCCCTTTATTGGATGGATGATTGTTCCCGAAGGATACCTAGTCTTGAACTCCTTCCCAGGGGCCTGTGTTTGTCACCATGAGCCTCCGCGGCATTGATGAACCTGGGCCAGGCTGTCTTGCAGATCAAGAAGCTTGCAGCCGTCCGCGGCTTGGTGCTTTCTGTCTCGCTAATTGATTTGAATGACTTTGCGGGGATGGAGATTTCATGTGGCTCTAACATGCAGGGCCAGGACCCAGCTTTCGCTGGGCCGATTTGGTGCTCAGCTGTGGCTCAAAATCTGCGGGCTCAATGAATTGCCTAAGGAGAACGTTAGGTGTGCCAAATTTGGCGCTGCAACCGTAGGTCTATCTTCGGATGCGAACAACGAGGCACGAGGCTATCCTTGCCATTCCATTTCGGTGAAAGTCGGTCCAGCATAGCTGCCATGGAACCCGACTCGCCAAAGCTGGGTGCGCTTCTGGCAGCCGAAGATCATGTGGAAAAGTTGGTTGAGGACGTGTTGCAAAGGCCGGGCTTGTTCAGTCGAGGTTGGTCATTCCTTTTGTAAGAGCCAGCTGCCTTGATGGGAGAAGGTCTCAGCTATAGGGCCCTGACTTGCTGAGCATTGGCGTTCATATAGGTTTGATCCAGCACCTGGAAGCTTATTTCGCCAAATCCCCAAGTTTGATTGCGGCACCCGGAATGAGCACACTCCACTCATATGCCATACATCAGCACTGATTTGGCTTGGTATCTCCATTTGGGATCCACTTGGGGCACCAATCTGAACTGTTCCCAGATGGCCATTTTTTTCTCGAGACTCTGGTACTGATTTGGTGAAGTCCGTTCCAATGACCCGATACACGACACCATGCACACATACACTCATTCATGTACAAAGTATCAGGTCATTTGACAGTGTCAATCTCAAAGTGCATGAACTTCATGCTGAGCACGGGCATCACAGTCCCATCGCAGCCACATATTGCCACACGTGGAAATGCGGATTCTTCTCTGGGTTCAGCTTGCGCCTTTGGCAAGCTCTCGAAAGCTGAGGCACAGTCAGAAAATGTTGACGCACCTGGATGAGTGGCTTCGACGAGTGGACCTCACGCTGCATTGCCAGATTCAGCTTATTTTGGCCTTGTGCTCTTTTGTTTTTCCATCATGTTCCCATTGTCAAATGGAGCGTTGTGCAAATTGGTGCTTCAGGCTACAGAAGCACATAGTGCTGGATGTGGCTTTGGATCCCAACGAGCTTGATGCATGGTGCCCTGATCCGTCGCAAGATGCTAGCGATATAAATGATCTCAGCAAGGACACGGATATGGACAAGACGATGTCCGAACACCCCGACCGGCCCGAGAAGGTGTCCTCGACGCGGCAACTCGATAGGAGCTGCGATTCGTCTCATGACTATGCGTTTTTTGCTTTGAAGAGAGTTCAGCGCTGCGCAAAAAGTTGAAGCCTTTTTGAAGGGAGGGAAGAATCTCCCAGTGATTCCAGCTTGTGTATCGGCCGGATATTGGGCAGACCAACAAGGCTTGCCCCAAAAGGTTTGTGGTTGCGCTTGCTCTGGGCATGTCTGGTGTTGTTTTTTGTGGAGCCCTTCTGGCTGAAGGAAAATCAAAGGGACCCACTCATGCGGGGGTCCCGCATTTTGCGTCAACATCCTGTAATTCTGGACTTGCCTTTCATTGGGGTTTGCGTCAGGAGCCAGAGCTATTTGACTGCCAAAGAGGAGGAGAGTCGTTGCATGACTTAGCTTAACCTTTTAACTGATGCTTTTTTTGTTTTCCGTCATGTTTTCTCTTGTACCAGCAGCATGTCAGCTTGTTGTCTTTTGGGTGTTCTTACATTTTCCCTTTCAGGCAAAACGTTGTCACTGTTTGCCAGGGCTATCAGTCTGGCCAGGTTTGTGGGGCTTGACTGTCATTGTCAGCAGCTGGGATTTGCAAACGCAGCGGAAAAGACTGTCCTGGCTGGCCCAGAAATTCCGCACATTCCAAGCCTGGGCTTCCAAGCTTGTGCTGTCCGCGCCTTTCAATGTCTTCTTTGCTCTTGTCATCCTCAGCAACTCCCTGCCACTCACTTGCAAAGTCAATCCGAAGCCGCCGACCCAATGCCTCTTTCCAATTGAAGTTCAGTCGACATGTCCGGAAAACGGTGAATCCGAAAGGGACATGGCGACTCTATCTTTCGCTTTCTCTTTCTCTTTCTCCTTCTCGTCTTCCTCCTCCTTTTTCTTCTTATTTCCCCATGTCTTCTAGGGTAGCAAAATTCTGTGGCCCAATTGAGTTGACCCCCGGTTCTTTGCACCCGGTTTTTCAAGCGATTCCGCTGTCGGAGAGTTTCTTTTCTCGCGTTTTCACCTAACTCAGGTACCTGGGCATTCAGGTGGAGTGGAGCGCGACGCACGGCCACGTTTTCACGGACCCTGGGATCTTTGCTGCGCACATGGTCTACATGATCCTCAGCTCGAAGCAAAAGCACCTGTTGGCCTGCCTTGGGTTTCAGCTAGTGTTGGTCCACTTTGAGCTTTCAACTCGCTTTGGTCTACTTTAGGGTTTCACCCTGTTTTCGTCTACTTTGAATCTTTCATCCTGTTTTGGTCTACATCCTGTTTTGGTCTACTTTTAGTTTTTAACTACTTTTTGGTCCAGCTTTGGTCTACTTTTTGACACCGCGCTTCGGTCTACTGTTATTCTCCAACAAGTTTTGGTGCACATTTTTGTTGCTGTTCAATCAGTCTGCTTGAAGTTTTGAACTAGTTTAGGTTTCGTTAGTAGCTTTCATCTAGCTTTGGGCTACTTTTAGTCACTGCAGCCCCAAAGGTGACCACCCTTGCTTGCTGGTGCTTTGCAGATAAGGGCAAACTCCAGTGAGCCAAGACACCATTCTACTCCCTAGTTCTGCCTGAATACCACGTACATTGCTAAGGTATATACTGCTTTATAGATTCATGTGCATAAACAAGCCAGAACCTGCAAAAACCACACAATTGCAGCTGCCTTTGACCATTTTGTGTTTTTTGGAGGGTGTGCTTTGGGGTTGGAGTACGCCGCCAAAGCTTCTGGAGAAACTCAACGGGCTCACGTGGGCGGAAAAAGAGGATGATGGTTCCCTGCCCAACAAAAAGTGAAGGCCATGTCTGAAATGGGACACCCCTATAAATCCAGCCAGGGTTTTAATCCAGAGTCACTCAATTTGCCAAGATCCTTGGGCTTATGATTGGTTCCCGTTGTTTTGGTTGGTTGGTTTTTGCTTTTTTTGGAGAGAGGATCCTCTTCTCCGTGGAGATCATGCTCCGCTGCCTCGCGGTGGGGCCTGTGGCCTACGTGTGCGGAGAGGGCTGGGCCTGGCACTGGCTGGACCTTGTGGCGGTGCCTCGGACATTTCCCCGGGCTTTTTTTTGTAGACACAAAAGATGTCCTCTTTTTTTTGTAGAAATTTGTGTGCATTTCTTGCGGTTCCAACTAATTTTTAGACACACCCATAGGTGTTTATTTTTTTGGAGGGTGGCAGATTCAGCGAAAGGGAAACTGGAAGGACCTGTTCCCTGTTTTTCTGGCTGGTTCTCAGTGAGACCGCAAGAGATGGTTCGTCGGGGTCATTCCCTCAGTCCCGCTGAGGTCCAACAAGTTTGTGTGGACATTGGTTCTTTGTAGAGATTTGAGCGTGTTTATGTTGAGGCTTAGAAGGAAGCAAGCACATGTTTTGGCCTTCCTTGCAGAAACCAGCCGTTACGCCGGGAGTTTTGCATGTTTTCTGAAAAGATGCATTGCTGGAAATAATGTGAAAGCTAGCCCAGAGAAAATGAGCATAAACTAACTTTTTCATAGTGGTCGTTGCATAGTGCTTTTTCATAGTGGTATTGTACCCCATTTTCCCTTGGGTTGTATTATAGTTGTTAAGCAGTTCCAGCTTTGTTTGTTTCGTCCAGGGCCTTTGGTGGAAGGTACTCTCCTCCTGGGTGGAACTGGTGGTCGATTTGGTTGACAAGTCGGGCACGTACTCTGCGGCAGCCAGCAACTTTCGCATCATGAGCCTCTTGGCCGCGTGGAGGCCAGCACCACTTCCTTTGAGCTATATTAACTGCGGTTCCTACCCGGTTTCCTGTTGCAGAAAGAGCTATATCAACTTGGAGTATTGTTCTTTCCTTCGGTTCCCGCATGGAACCAGCAAGGAATCTTCAGGATCACGCGCTTGGTCAAGGTGGTGCGGAGTTTGACTCTGGTGCGCTTTGTCTCTGCGCTGCGCACGTTGGTCCATTCCATTGCGGATACGACCAAGTCCCTGGTGTGGTCTTTGCTCTTGCGGCCTGGCCGAGCTTGGGAACCGAGTGTACGTGGAAAGGGGAATGCTTTGGATTCACAGGCCAGACTAGTTTCGGGCAGGCATGTGACGCAGCGGCTCAGGATGGTGTAAAAGCTCGATCGTGCAAACATTCGGCGAGGGTCTTTTTCACTTGCTGAGATAACACTTGTTTCAGCTCTGCGGTCAATTCACGAAAAAGCAAAAGTTCCTCCAATCCAGGTGATCGACCAAAGTGACGCCACCGCTTTGGGTGCCTCCCAGAACGCGGTCGCAACTCAGGTTGCTGCTGATTCAGTATACCTTTGGTATTCTATTCACTGATGCAACGCTAGACTATCTTGCTGAGCACGGAAGCTCCACGGACGAGAGCGTGAGACTGCAGCAGTACTTCGGATCTGTCTGGAAGGCCACAGAGACCCTCTTTAGATCTTTGTTAGGCGCGGGACCGGCTTGTGCCAGGGATCTAGACAAAACCCGTCCTTCGTAGGAAGAAACAAAAAAGCATTCACTTGTGGAATAGCATCTTGCTGTGGTCCTGCGACCACTTTGTTGGGCATGTTCCAAGAAGCCTTGACCAAATATTGCAGCTGAGAGGCAGCATGGGCCAGTGCCAAAGTAGGCGGACACCAAAGATCGTAGGTCCCTTTGAACCAGCCCCAAAAGGGGACCGTCAAAGAACACAAGCCCTCATGAACAAGGGTGGGTTGTGCGGAGCGCGCTTGGAGCAGACTCGCTGCAAGGCGGTTTTGACTGGGCAAATGCTGCTGATGCTGTTCGTCCTATGGGTGAACTCTGGGCTCCTTGGCCAAGTGCGCAAATCCATGGCTTTGTTTCCGTATGAGG